TATATATATAAAAATGGTGTGAGTGGCGGGGTACACCATGGACAGGTCACATGATCATCAGTGGGACACAGAGACAAACACTCATAATCTCACTCGCACCTGGAAACATTTTAAGAGTTACCAATCTAAAATCTAAAAATTGATGAAGAGACTTGTTTTTGGTCTGTGGGACCCGGAGAGCCCACACAGGCACGAGGAGAACATGCACGCTCCATAAAGGCCCAGAGGTGAGCCTGCGACCGCTCTAACCGCTGCGCTGCTTTACTCTAAAGTAGAGCTGTCATTTCTAACCCCAACCCGGAGCCCAGCCCCACCCGACCCGGATTAGGGCCGGGTCGGGCCATAATAATGTGCTTAATGTGTGGGTCGGTGTGGGGCTTTTGATTGCGTCAGCGGATGCGCGCGGCTGACGAGCCAATTATATGACAACGTGGCTTGCCATATGGTCACCAGCTGCACGCAGCCATTTGACCGTGCGCTGATTAGAGCTGTCATTTCTAGCCTGAAACCCGGTCCAGACCGACCCGGATTAGGGCCGGGTCGGGCCGTTATAATGTGATTAATGGACGGGACGGTCTCGGGCTTTTAATTACGTCAGGATCAGCTGTGATCCAATTATATGATAACATGGCCTGCCATACATCCACCAGCCGCACGCGGTCATTTCACCACGAGCTGACCGGCCTTGAAAGAGATAAAACATTCAGTTAAGCTTCAAATGGGACTGAACTGCCAGGAAGCGATCCATCGCCCAAATGGACGTTCAGCCGCTGCACTCAGCGGTCGCGCCCGGCTGACGACCAAACAGGTGAGATCCCAAAGCAGACGTGTCAGAGCTGCCCGCGTGTCTCAGTAATTCAGACGAATGCAGGCAGAATGCTTTTTTATGGTCATGAAAAGACAAACACCTCTCAGCTCCGAATCTTCTGCTGCTTTTATTCAGCTGCGCGTCCCCGACCGTTAATAACCAATTAAAAATGTCGGGGGGGTTTTCCGGGTTCGGACCTGTAATTACTGGGTGGGGTTCGGAAATTATGACTGCGGGCTGGGACCAGGTCGGAACAGATTTTTTGGGCCCGAATGCAACTCTAGCGCTGACCAGCCTTGAAAGAGGTAAAAAGTTCAGTTAAGCTTCAAAATGGATTACTGCCAGTGATCCATCAGCCCAAATGGACGTTCATTCAGCCGCTGCACTCAGCGGACGCGTGCGGCCGACGACCCGAACAGGTGAGATCACAAAATATCCGACATGTCAGAGCAGGGTCCAGGTCTGAATAATGCAGAATGCAGGCAGAAGCAGGGATTTAATGTGCTTTGATGGCCATGAAAGGACAAACATCCCCTCAGCTCCGATCTTCTGCCGCATCAGCTTCACGTGTCCGCCGACTGTTAATAACTATACAAGTAGTCAAAGTTTAGTTAACAACATTGGGTTGTTTTTTTTTCGGGTTCGGACCTGTAATTACTGTTAATTCGTCGGGTCGGGTGGGGTTTGGGAACGATGGCTACGGGCTGAGGCTGGGTTGAGTTTTTTGGGCCCGAATGCAACTCTACTCTAAAGTCAAACATAAAAAGCAGCAAACAGAACAGACAGTTTGAAGCAGCTGTAAGTTGTAGGAGTCAATAACAGTAACTAACGTGTGGAGACTGAAGGTCTGCTATCATTCACGGGGAGACGCCAGAGGTCAGTAATAAAATATAAAAATTAATAAACACAAGACAATAAATAAAACAAAACAACGCCACGTTTGATATCACTAAAATCCTCATTTCCTCCTCGTTCTGATGCTCAGATTAAACTTCAGGAAGTCGTCTTTGCTGCGTCTGGATGCCTAAATCTGAGATTAGCTGCCGTGTGATTGGCTGATTAGCGTTTTGTGTTAAACTGAACAGGCGCGCCTCAGATGTGTTTCCGTTAATCTTCTGAGAACTGCTGGAACGAGCTGCCTGACTGATGCTCAGCGGGACACGGTTCTGTGGACAGAAACTGCTGCTCGGACCACGGGAGAGGAATGTTCACGTGCAGAAAGAAAAAGTGAAAAAGAATAAAAGAACAGATTTTATCTAAAGTAGGACCGGGGGAAAAAAACGTGAAAATGTCAGCGTATTCCAATCTGCAGTTTTTACATTTATAGTGGAAGTTGGGACTGCGTGAGAAAGAAACGTCTGGACAATTCAAAGGGACAAACACACCCAACGCAGCGCGGCACAGTGGTGCAGTGATGCTGCAGTGCCTCCTAAACCGTCTTAGTGACCCCCCCGTCAGTCCAGCCTGAGGGGCTGTTATCTGCTTTGAGTCTGGGGCACCAGGCTGCCGTTGTGTCCTCGGCCCCCAACCTGAGGGTGCTGGGTCAACGAGGACGACGGGGAAGCAGACGAGGGGGCTGCGATCGAAGGTCTGAGAGAAGAGGCGGCCAAATCCCCCGAGCGCTGACTTTGGTGTGGGTGGGGCCTGCCGCCGCCCCCTTTGATGTGAAGCCCGCAGGTGGAGGGCTCCTGCTGCAGGTTGAGGATGCTGTCGATGGCACACTGCAGGTGCTCGTTCAGAGAGTCGTCCGGCGGGCTGCCGCTGGAGAAGCTGGCGTTGTCCATGTCGGGGGAGTCCGATTTGCAGCGTTTGGCAGGAAGCAGAGAGTCTCGAGTGAAGGAGGGCTCCGGAGAGGGGGGCCCGGGGGCGTGTTGGTCCATTCGGAATGTCCTTCCAGTCCTATGTCTGTTTTTTTCATTTAATCTTTTGTATTTACTGACGTCTGTCTCTTGGCCTGTGTGCTCCTCCCCCCGGTCCTTTGCCCCCTCCCTGTTCAGGAGCAGAGAGAGGTGATGGTGCTGCGCGGGTTTGATTCCGCGGTTAAACACCTCGTTCATTCGGTCCAGCCCCAAGTTCCCGCTGTCGTGGCTCGACTCTGTGTGAGCGTGCAAGCCCCCCCGGTCTCTTTTATCCACCTTTATGCTCGCTATCACTGTCCGCTCCGAGGGGGGCGTGGTGGCCTCGTGCCTGGGGAGAGACGGCGTGGTTCTGGGGTAGGACAAACTATCCCCTTCTCCTCCTAGGACCCCAGGTCTGACCCGGGGGCTGATGTTTTCCCGGTAGGTTTTTCGAAGGGGCAGTCTGCAGGTGGTTTGTGGGGGGGTGGCGGTTGAAGCAGGGTTGTGTTTGACCCCGCCCAAGCTGTGGTGTTCTAACGTCCCGTTCATCTGTGTCGAGGAGGAGGACGCTGCATCGGGGGGAGCGTTACCCCTCAGCGGGGGGTTACACTGAGTGGTTGTCATGGTAACCGAAAACCCAGAAGCAGCTGTGCAGACGGGAGACTGAGCTCTGACAGTGGGAGGAGACGATGGAAGGTGGGTCTTTGCAGCTTCTGACTGAACCCGAGGCTCTGGTGTGGACCGGCTGCTCAGCTGGGGCTGGGGTGTGTGCTCCGGGTCCAGGGCAGTGTTGTGGACCACCTTGCTGAAACCCGTCTGGTCCTGCTTGATCTTTAGCTTCAGGCCAATTCTCCTGCGAGCCTCGTAGGTCTTGATGGGCGGTTTGCTGATCCGTTGAGGGAGCGCGTCGTCGTCGTCGGCTGAAGACGACGCCGCGGGAGAACGACTGAACGCGGAGCTTTGGCTGACGGGTTCGGCCACGGGCTTGGACGCTGCAGCAGGAGGACAGCTGGTGGACCAGGACACCGACGCTCCGCCTCCACCCTGCTTTATAACCAGTTTGGTTGGGGGGAAAGGGGAATGAGAAGGAGGAGCAGGAGCCGGAGCCAGAGGAGGTGTAGGAGCAAGAGGAGGGTTTGGTGCAACGTTGGGTAGAGGAGCCGGGACGGGAGCGGCAGGAACCAGAGCAGGAGCAGAAACCGATGACCCTAAACTCACTGAGGAGACCTCAGGAGGCGACAACTTCTGTTGGGATGAATCTCCGCTCTCCAACATCCGCACACTCGCTACGAACTCTTCTGCAAAATAATAAAAATGAAAATGAAAACCCAACAAAATTACAAGAACGTCATTCACAGAGTTCTTCCTGAGAAAAACACAAAACCACAGAAAGGTACCTGGTCGCTCTTTAGCCAAAACCCTGTCCTGGCTCAAGGCCATCTTCTCCTCCTGGATGAACATCCTGTCGATCATCACCATCTCTGCCGAGGGGCCCAGTCTCTGCTCAGGTTCAAACACCGAAAACAGCCGGTTCAAAATCAGCTCTGAACAAAACAGCCGGTTCTTCTGGGACAGAACTGGGTCATAAACTTACTTTGGACTCTGCAAAGAGCAGGTAACGATACTTGTCCAGCATGGCCTGGGTCCTTTTGAGCAGCTGGCAGGAGACCATCTCAAATTCATCGTCCACTGTGTCCAAGAGAACCAACATGTTTGTGAGGACAGGGTGTCCACATCTGTGTGTCCACATCTGTGTGTCCACACTGCTAATGGTAACATCCAGATGTTTTTTAAACGCTGAGCCACACCAACTACTTCAGCTTACAGTATTTGCATCTCTTTCAGCCACTCGGGTATCAAACATTTGGCTACGACTTTGATATTTGTAACTTTTATACTTTTACATTATTTAGCATTAGTTTTTACTTCAATTAATGCGTTGAGATCTCATCTAATCCTTGGAAACACTTCCAACATCCAAACTTTTATGGATACTTGCTTTTAGCTACAATTTTACGTTGTAGCTACTGTTTAACTGATTTTAGCTTTTACCTAATGTTTTGCTAGTATAAGCTTTTAGCTACTGTTTCATAGTTTTAGCTTTAAGAAAATGTTTTGCTAGTTTTACCTTTTAGCTACTGTTCTAATAAATGTATCTGCAAGCTACGGCTTTGCTAGTTTTAGTTTTTGACTGTTTTGATCATTTTACCTTTCAGCTACTGTTTTGCTAGCCTTTGCTTTTAGCTACTGTTTCCTAGCATTAGATTTGAGCTACTGCTTTCTACGTTTAGCTTTAAACTAATGTTTTTTTGTTACCTTTAGCTACTGATCTGTTGGCTTTAGCTACTGTTCTGAAAATTTTATCTGTCAACTACTGTTTTTCTAGTTTTAGATTTTAGCTACTGTTCAGATGGTTCTAGATTTTGGCTAAAGTCCCAACAGTTTTACCTCTCAGTTACATTTTTGGTGGACTTAGCTTTTAGTTACCATATTGCTAGCCTTAGCCTTTTGCTACTGTTTCTTATTTTTAGCTACTTTTCTTATGATTTTATCTATTAGCTTCTGTTTTGGTATCTTTAGGTTTTGGCTAAAGTTCTGCTAATTTTAGCTATTAGCAACTATTCTGCTAGTTTTAGGCTTTAACTCTTGTTCAGCTAATTTTAGTTTTTGTTTTGCTAAGTGTACCTTTAGTTGTGATCGTTTTAAGTTCAACAGTTCAGTTTCAGCTGCTTTCAGCTGTTCGGCACTCGGCTGATGCTTTAGCTACCTTTCTGATAATCTTGAGAGGAGTTGGCCGTTCCCTGGTAGAGGTGGTAAGGCAGCAGTCTGTGCAGCGTGTCGTCAAACGAGTTGAACGGAGCGCCGTAGTTGGGGTGAAGCACCGAACCCTGATGTTTTCTTAGCTGCTCCAACACTCTACAGCGACACGTTGACACATAAAAAACATTTAAAAATAGAAATTAAACATTTCTTCAAGAGGTGAGTGTCGCTCGCCTCCTTGCATGCATCAGTAAAGTCCATCCAGCGGTTAGGAGACATTTTGTTAACAAACAAAATAAACACCCACAGGCGGGCGCTGAAAGCCCGTCGGGTAAATAAAAGCTCTGAGAATGCCTTCAGCACGTACCTGGCTTCTCTACTGGGCTCCGCACTTAAAGGCATTTTCACCGTTGTTGTCTGTGATGTGAGCTGATGGGGAAGGCAGCGATTAAAATCTGTCCGGTGCACAAACGTAAAATATTTTAGAACCAAATAACCGTCCTTTACCTGAGTTTGTACCAGAGCCGGGGGCTGTGGAGCAGGCATCTGAGACAAGGCAGGTCCTAACACCTGTATCTTCATCCCACCCTTCCCCAGAGTCACACCCCCGACTGAGCTGATCACTCCTGGCTTTGGCTGAACCTGTGCAGAAATAAACAAAGACACCATGTTCAGAAAGCGATAAAAATTAAAAAATAATTACATATCCTGAAAATGTGCACTGAACGGGACGAGACGAGCAGAGCAACAGCAGCGACCTGTGTAGGCTGAGTAAGGCTGACAGGAGGGACAGTCTGATTCACCGCTGCTCCAGCTGGCCCTTGGACTCCTGAGAATACCTGTAAGTCACTTGAAGCTGGAACAGAAGGGCGGAAAATTATTAAAAAACGGTTCTCTTGCTTCTAAAAAAGTTAAATCTGGTCCTCTGGACATTCAAAAAAACAAAACAAAGCAAAACAACAACAGAAATGTAGAAACGTTTCGTCTTTCATCCGAAACACTTCCTCAGCCTGAGGTGCAGCTCAGTCTCTTAAATAGCACCTTCTCAGAGTGGATCAGCCAGTTTGCTGCTGACAACCAAAACCAGCTGATCACATGCTCAAGAAGGACCATCAGCCTAACGATGGATCATTAGTTCTCTTGCTTCCATCACTGATACTCGGAAGGATCTTACCTGTGGCGGGAGTTTTGATGAGCACTGAGGTCGGCTGCAGCATTGTGGGAAGCTGAGCAGGTGCTTCCTCGCTCCCCGAAGATGATGATGTAATCATCACTTTATCAACAGGCACGTCTTGCTGGGAGTTAAACTGAGTTGTGGCTTGAGGTTGAGGTTTCGCCTGGAGCATGATGCTCTGCTGGACCTGGAGACACAGCGACCGAGCTCGCTTACATTTCATGAACGGGATTTCACACCAAGTGTGTTTCCAATCGGCTACAACATCTGAGTCTGTATCTTGTTAGCAAAACATCTCATGCGTCGGTGGACGGGTTTTAATTAAACTTACAGTGTAGAGTCAACCCTAATCAAGATGGCTGCTACAACTAATTAACTTTAGCAAACACAAAGACGACAATAACTCTGTCATTTTTACTGATATTGAGCCAAAATTTGGTGTGGTGGTAGCTGAGAGTCATCCTCAACACACACTCTGATCACTAACAGATCAAATACACACTCTGATCACTAACATATCAAATACACACTCTGATCACTAACAGATCAAACACACACTCTGATCACTAACAGATCAAACACACACTCTGATCACTAATAGATCAAACACACGCTCTGATCACTAACAGATCAAACACACACTCTGATCACTAATAGATCAAACACACGCTCTGATCACTAACAGATCAAACACATACTCTGATCACTAACAGATCAAACACACACTCTGATCACTAACAGATCAAATGAGCGCTTCTAAAACTCTGACGTGCAAGGTGACAAGCAATATGCATTTCATTAAGGAAATGTTTTGGGGGCTCTAAAGAGCTCGACTTTAAAAAGTCAATTTAACAACAATCCAAGCCTTTTTTTTTATTTTTTTTAGATCTTTTAAAGATTTCTTTAGACCCGTTTTCCACTCAGCTGCTGCTGAAACGTTAATCTGAGGAATCTGAACAAACTGGGGATAAAAAGACAAATTGTCAAACTGAAATAAATTAAAGCAAATGAGTAAAAAGTTGGAAAAAAATCCCAGAAAAATGTAAATGGGCGTCAATCTTCAGCTGATTTGTAAACCATCTTGGTTTTTTTGTTTATAAAAAAACACAAAAACATATATTTATTTATTTGTGATAGGCTGCTGACAACAAACAGCCTCAATAATTAAGTTTCCCTATTCACAAGTTTACAAGTTAGAAAACTGAACTGAAAATCAAGAGGTAACCGGTATCCAAATAAAAACGTTAATAATAAATTCTCAAAAAACTACTTAGGTCCGCATTAAAATATTACAAGACAAGTCTGAAAATTTTTTAAGAAATTGCTTCCTTTTGTTCTTAACTCAATATTATAAATAAACTGAGTATTTAATCCAAACCTACAATGAAAATCAGAAAAAATGCAATATTTAAACACACTCTAGTAATAAAAATAGTTAAAAAAAATTAAGTCATTTTTAAAGATAATTAACTGAGTTAATATGGGGACAGTTTAAAATAGCTTGTATTTTAATCTATTAAACAAATATAAAAATTAAATGTGAACCTAGCAAATCTTGAAGAAATGCTTATTCGAGTTTTAAACAAAGTCCTCGTTTGATCAGTTTGTGCTCAGAGTTAGTGATGGGGAAGATTCTCAGCTACTACCACACAAAGATTTAGCAACAGGACTGAATTGTACCATTTTTGTGTTGGCTGCTGTCGATTTACAGCCAATGATTAATTTTTGAGAGCTCAATTAAAATCTATGAAGCCATTCATGAGATATTTTGCTAACAGTCGCAAAGACAAACACATGATTACCCTCCCTTTATGAAGGTGGGTGATAAAAAGTGGAGAGTTAAAGCCATAACAAAGCTTATAATGATGGATAATCCAGAATTTTACATGTTTAAAATCAAACGCTTTGTGTAGAGAAGCTGGAGCGGTACCTGGTGCAGCTTCTCCAGCAGCTGTTTCTGCTGAGGCGAGGGCTGAGTGATGGAGGACAGAGTATGGATTTGTGCTCCGACTACCTGCAGCTGGTGCTGCTGCCCTGCTGTCAGGCCCTGGATGGGGACTTGTGTTTTCACCACGGCGTTGGCACAAACACTGACGGGAGGCGCGGTGAACTGGTGCTGGGGGGGCGGTGCAGGCAGAGGCTTGGGCGACTGCGACACTGGAGGCATTTCTTGTTGATAGGAAGCGGGCTGCGAGGCGGGCCGAGGCAGAGGCTGCAGCTGAACCTGAATGTGCGCCTGCTGCGGCGGCGTTTGCTGGATCTGACCTTGTGCGGCAGGTTTGGGGGACTCGGCGATCTGGTTCTGGATGATGAACAGCGAAGGATGTGACGAGGGCGTGCAGGAGCGCGAGGGAGTCTGAGGCTGAGAGGAAGGGCGCGACTGCTGCTGATGATGGTGCGGCGACTGGATCTGCTGGCTCAGAGTCAGAGGAGACTGGGAAGGCTGGGGACTTTCTGCCACCGGTGGTGTTGTGGTGTGGGTGGTTAAGGCCGGTGAGGAGGACAGGCCCTGAATCTTCAGAGGCTGCTGAGGTCCAGCTGAGGGCACCTGAAGAAATAAATATAAATGTTAGTTTGATTCAAAAACATCTGAACCCCCTCCCCCACCAAAGATAATGTAAAATAAAATCACACTTAAAACGTCTACAGATAATTTTACAATTAGTAGTACAGGATTAAACATTTAACATTTAACCACATAAAAAAAGTTAGAATGTGTAAAATATTAATAAAAACAGAATGTGATGATCTGCAAGTCTCATATTTTATCTATAACGGAACATATTAAACATCTCAAAGGTCTAAACGAACAAATTAGCTCTCTCTTTTATTTATTTAAAAAATGGGTACTGGCATTTTAAATTTGAAGGTAGCAACATAAATAAAATAGGTAAAAATAAGAAACAGCTGAAGGAGGATTTGTAACAATTAGGTTAATAGGCAAATGACAAGTGAGTGGAAGGACTGGGTATAAATAATATTTTAGAGAGGCTCTTTCACAAAATAAAGAGCTGCAAGTGGACTACAGGAAGAAGATCCCCCCCAATTCATTCATCCTACCTTAATTTATACAGGCTAGTCTCATTGAGCCACGAGGACTCGGAGAGACCTGTATCAACATCAAGGGTACTAAGGTGGACACTGTGGACTGCAACAAGTACCTGGGGGTCCACCTTGACAATAAACTGGACTGGACAGCTAACACCAACGCCCTCTACAAGAAAGGACAGAGTTGCCTTTTTCTTCTGAGGAGACTCAGGTCCTTTAATGTCTGCAGGACCATGCTGCAGATGTTTTACCACTCGGTGGTCTCCAGCATCTTCTTCTACGCTGTGGGGCAGCAGGATGAAGAAAGCTGATGCCAACAGACTCAATAAACTCATCAAGAGCTGGCTCAGTTCTGGGAGTGGAGCTGCAGTCTCTGACAGAGATGTCTGAGCAGAGGATGCTGAGGAACCTGCTCCAGATCCTGAACAACACGTCACACACCCCCTGCATGACACCCTGGACTCTTACCGCAGCACCTTCAGTGGTAGAGTGAGACCACCGAGGTGCTCCACAGAACAACACAGGAAGTCCTTAAAACTTTTCAACTCCTCCCCATTTCTACACATAGAATAAAATTAATCCTGCACCACAATAAACACTTTAATGTTTCTGTCTGCACCTGTTTAGAACTTCATTGTTGGTACTTTTAAATTCTCTGTTATTTTTCATATCTTGTGTGACTCCTTGTGTTCGTTCCTTTGTGCTGAAACTCTGGCACAACAATTTCCTGCGAGATCAATAAAGTGCTATTTTTAAACCAGGACTTGTGACACCTTGTGGTCACCTCGGTGTGACTTCTGAAGTCGCCGAGGCAACGAGGAGGGGTCGAAGTCAACCCGCCCATGATATGTCTCAGGTAATCAGGTCTCTCTTGTAAATGAGTCATCGTGCCTCAATGGGATTTACTTGTCTAAATAAAGGTTGAATGAATGAATGTGTGCCTCGTAGAAAGGTAGTAACAGAGCCAAAATGGTCAACATGTGACAGGACAAGTTGGTGCCACAGCTCAATAATAATAATAATAATAATAATAATAATGTCATCACAATGTCAGCACTGTATGTTTCCATACAATGGCGAAATTAGTCTCTGCATTTAACCCATCCACCACCAGGTGGTGCAGTGGGCAGCTATTGAAAGCGCCGGGGGGGCATTTTGGGGATGAGGTGTGCTGCCCAGAGACACCACGTGATATGCAGTGACTGGGGATCGAACCTGGGACTTTTTGGGTCCCAAGCCGGCTGCCCTGCCTCTACACCATCTCGGCCCCCTATGTGATAAAGACATGATTTATGGGCTGAGTGATTTATGAGTTGACTCGTGCGATTAAACAAATAGATTTATTACCGAAGGAAGATGGATGATGACGCACAGCAACTTTGAATATATTTAAATAAATCGACTGACCACTAAGAAAATCGCTCAGCTAAGTTAATCCATAATGTTCTGAGAACAATACGAGGGAGACGTCATTACACATTTAACGAGTTGAGCTCCATGTCCACGAAGCTGACTCTTCCAGTTCCACCATGCTCAATTCATTTCTGAAAGCTCATGCCTGTGTGGGAACACGAATATCCCACCAGTGATTTTTGAACGGCCCAGTGGCCGTGGGTCACTGGCCACTGGGCCGGTGTCTGTGGGTCCTCCCCCAGAAAATATGAATAAAGTAAATGCCATTTCCTGCATTTTGGTGTATTTCAACGGGTTGTTAAACATCTACGTTTACCTAACACTTGATTCAATAACAATTTTAGAGAGCAACAACACCAGCTCTCTCTTATGTGAATGTGTTTGACTGTGTGAGTTGGGGGGGGGGGGGGGGGGGCTTGCCTTAGCTCTGCTTCTATGAAGGCAAGCCTCCCCCACCATCACGTCTCCGAGCCCGACTCTTATCCTCTGAATTCAGTCCTGCGTGTTGTTGTCCGACTCCACTCACATGTGATACTTCCAGGCGACTCCTCAGTCTGTTCATGGCCGCTGCCTGTTTATCTCAGAATTCACCCCCACCCCACTCGCTCACTCCTGCTCCAATCTCCATTGTCACTGCATTCAGGTGCTTCAATTCTCGGTTGTCCAACTAAAGACAATCCATCCATTTTTTTAAATAAAAGTAAACTGGACTGTCCAATTCCAATCCAGTTGGACAGTGCACTTGGATTGGAATTGGACTGTCCAATTGGACTGTCAGGGAAGTGCTTCGGGCATGTCCGACTGGGAGGAGACCCCGGGGAAGACCCAGGACACGCTGGAGAAACTGTCTCTCGGTTGGCCTGGGAACACCTTGGAATCCTCCCAGAAGAGGTGGCTGTGGAAAGAGATGTCTGGGCCTCCCTGCTCAAGCTGCTGCCCCCGCGACCCGACTTCGGAATAAGCAAAAGATAATGGATGGATGGAAACTGGGCTGTTCGACATTTTGATCGCTGTAATTTTAACAAATTAGCGCCGTTGTTTTGATACGTGATGTACGTCACGTGATTACCATCAAATATCTCTCGTTGAATTTTAATAATCTAAATTTTATTAATAACCCACTTAAACTGTCAAACTGATTTGCAATTTAGTTGTAAAGTTTAATTATATTTTTGAGGTTTGTTGGGTTTTTTTAATACAAAAATGCACGACTTTGGATTTTTAGGGGCAGAGATTTGAGTTAACGGATCCAAGCAAACTGTTACACTGTCAAAATAAGAGGGTTCCTGGATCTTGTTCCGGCTCAAATCAAGCCCTGCGTAAGGTTCTCTCTGCACGTCTGTAGTCAAGACAAATGAGGACAAATCTGTAAAACTTGACGTGTATGACAATGAACATTAGATTCAACAACAATGAAAACAGGAAGGATTTTTGTTGTGTTCATCAGTCAATGTAGGCGGCGTGGGACACTTGAGTAGGGGCAAAATTGTTGCCCGCTGCCTGTTATTGAGAAGGCAGCACATGTGAACACCATCAAGAAACTGTGCCATCTTCTCATGAGCAACGCTCTTTTAAAATGGACTGAGACAAAGTGGAGAACTGTTCTGTGGTCAGCTAAACTATAATTATTTTTGGAACCACCGACACCACATCCTCCGTACTAAAGAGATTGAGCATCCAGCCTGTTATAGGCATACAGTCAAAAAGCCTGCCTCTCTGATGGTATGGGGGTGCATTAGTGCCTCTACTACGAGCAGCTTACACATCTGGAAGGCTCCGTCAATGCAGAAAAGTATCTACAGGTTTTAGAACATTTGCTCAGATCTAGCAAAATAAATAATTAAATAAATCCTGCAAAAACAACACAGAACTCTTGAACAGCTAGAATCCTCCATCAGAACAAAATGGGACAACACTGTCCTTCAAAAACTAAAACAACTGGTTTCCTCAGTCCCTGGACGTCTTCATTGTCGTTACAAGACGAGGGACGCTTCACGGTGGAAAAATGGACCCCGAAACAACGTTTTGGTTTGTGTTGCTGCCATAAAAACTCAAATTCATATTATTTTTTTCTAAAGAAAGGGGAAAATACATTAGATTAAACATTTGATTAGTTTACGGTGTTCCATTGTGAATTTAAACGAGCGTTTATGAGATATGCACATCAGTTCATTCTGTTTTTGTTTAAATTTTACACAATGTCGAAACTTTTAGGTAATTGGGGTTTTAGATAGTGTTGGGCAACATGATTTTATCACTTGTGGTAAATAACTTTTTCAGTGTACAATTTGCTCGAATGTACAACAAAGATAGATCAAAACCAGCTCTTAATAATCAAAAACAGTTTGATAAAACAAAGTTATCGCCCATCCCAAAGGCTACGCAAACAACAGAAAATCAACAGACACCAAAGCAAAGTAACAAAAGCAACAAAATCTACAAGGTGCTAAAGTAAAAAAAAAACTATAAGCACTTTTTTTCCAGCATTTGAAGGATTTAGCATATAAAAGAAAGCAATGATCGCTTGTCGAACAGGAAAAAAAAAACTGTAGAAGCAGAATTTGTGGGATTGTGATGGTGAATTAAAAAGTAACCTGAAGATTTGGAGGACATGGGTCAGGGGACAGAGTCATTTTGGTTTGGGGAACACCGTGTTGCTCAAACTGGGCATTATAAAAGGATTATTGACAGAGTAAAAAGAAGAAGATGGAGAATACAGAGTTGATTAATCGGTTACGGGTTAGTGATTAAACAGGAGACGATGAGTAGAGGTGAATGGGTTTGACAGAGCAGTTAGAAAACAGCGTGATTTTTATGTTGTTGGGAAAACAATCCAAAAAAATGTTTCAACAAAAACCTTAAACCAAAAGTTCACAATGCATCATATTAGGATTACATGATGTATCAACAGTGAGAACAATTGTGGTTTTACGAGTAATGAAGCAACGTGGAAGAGGCAAAATAATAAAAAATAAAATAAAAAGCAGAGATGCAGCAAGCAAAGGAATCAATTTGTTGAGGCAGGAACCGAAAAGCACTGAGCGCTGTGGAAGCAGTGACGGATGCAGGAGGAAAAGGTCGCATCTCACTGGGCTGCGACTGATAGAGAGTAGTCGGAGCAACGATCAAGGAGGGGTTCTCTGTTTCGTCATGGTCTCGTCACTTTTGATTTTGAACAATTTTTCTATTTAGAATACTCACAGTCCCTGAAGGTGTCTTGACCTGTCTCAAGATCGCTTGAGCTGCATTTTGACTAGAGACAGGCCGATCAATCAGCCCACAGATTTAATCAATGGATGGATATTGGCCACTTAGAGAATTTAAAAAAATTGAGTTTTCTCTGACAGCTGCATGAAAGCTCCCCTCTGCTGGAGAACATCTGAGACTATGGTCCCTAATGCAGTGGTTCCCAACAATGGTCCCTGAGGAACACCATCCTACATGTTTTAGTTGTTCCTTTGCTCCAACGCACCAGATTTGAATGAAAGGTGATTAACAGGCTCCTGCCGAACTTAAGGAAGTAATTAAACCACTGAATCAAGTGTGATGGAGCAGAGAAACAACTAAAATGTGCAAGATGGTGTTCCTCAAGGACCAGGGTTGGAAACCATTCAGTTAAAAACCTACTACTTGTAAAAAAAAAAAAACCTGGTCCAAATCTGCATATCTTAATTTTCAAAGTAGTCTCCAGTCGATTAAATCATAAATGTAAGGGCACATCTGCACCACCTATAGTTTTACAAGCTGTGCACAGCTGTGATTTTAAAAAACAAACCGGTCGCTCAGAATCCAGCGAGACGGCTCGTTAGTTACAAACGCTCAGAATTCAAATACCATAACTAAAAATCAGATTTCTTCACAAGTTAAAATCACCAACTAGTCTCCAACAGCGGCAGCCCAGTGTGACCTTAAAGAGCGTTGATGGGAAAGGTAAGAAAACCTAACATTGTGGCGGCGGCAGCAGCAGCAGCAGCAAGTGGCTGGGGCTCAACATAAAGGGGCATTTCTACCTTTACCACTGCTGTCATGTGGGAGGGGCCGGGGGAAGGACTGTGGTTCTGACCCACCCAAGAGTCAGTTAATTGGCTGTCATGGACAGCAGGGGCCGCAGTGGTGACGCTGTTGCTGCTGACGATTACAGACGCTGGCACGCCCACAGAGGGGGTTGACTCATTCTCTGTTTGGTGGTGCGGCTCCTGATAGTACAATTACCATTTCAGGATGGAGGGAGGGAGGGAGGGAGGGGGGGGAGGGGGGATTGGAAGGATGAGGAGTAAAATCATAAACCAAAGATGTCAAACCAAGATATCACTCCGTGCATGTTATTTATTTTTAGGGCAATGTTAACAGAACACAAGAAAAGCTGAACGTGCAAAGAGAGGAACACCGACCTGCTGTAGGAACATCTGCAGAGACTCCTGGCTCAGGATCATACTCGGGGCCTGGTTGGTGAACAGTAACCTCCCTGGACTGTTCTGAGCCTGAGGGGGGACCAGCCCCACAGCTGTGACAGAAGAAGAGGTGGACACGGACGTGGACGGAGAAGAGGAAGCTACCGTGGAAGCCGTGGACACCGACGAGGCCGGCTGCATGGCGAGGATCGAGGTCTGTGGTATGAGTTGTGGAGCGGGATGAGCGCCTTGCTCTGCTGAGCTGCCCAGCACAGTAACAGTCTCTCCAGGCTGGCCTTGAGCCATGGCTGCTGCTCCGGTACTGCTGGGGACTCCACCCGGCTGCTGGGGCTGCAGGGCTGGCTGGAGGCTGACTGCAGGGCTTAGTCCCTCCACCTGACCCACCATGGTCAGAGAGCTCTGGATCGGCATGCCCTGTATGACCGTCTGGGCATGACCAGAGACAGTGGGAGTCTGTGTCTGACCTTGACTTTGAGCCAGCGAGGCGACTGGCATCTGAAAGAGGGTCGGTGTGCCCATCTGGCCAGGCTGCAGCTGAATGGGTCCAGAGAGGATGTGGGCAGCCCCGGGGTGGCCTTGTGAAGCCAGCACCTGACTCAAGTTGATGTTCTGGTTTGCAGTTAAAATCTGGTTGGCAATGAGCTGCCCACCAGGACCCTGACTGGTAATGATGTGGCCCCCGGGATGCTGGGTCAGGATCTGGCCCCCTGCCTGCAGCTGTGGCAGGAGAAACTGGTGGTTCTGGCCTTGGAGAACAGTCTGAGAGGGAATAACGATGCTGCCTTGTTGGTTTAATAAATGCACGCTGAGGGGTTTGCCAGACGGTTGTGCTGCTTGTTGCTTGAACAGAGTTTGTTGGAACTGGGGGCCTTGTGCTGTGGCTTGAGTGCTCAAGACAACATTAGAGCCCGGTTTTCCTGTGAAGAAGGCTACATTCTGAGCTGCAGAAACTGGAAGTTGCTGCAGCCCAAGAGCCTTATGGGCATCGTTTTGCAGGTTCTGGGGTGCTGCTTGTTGGGGCTGCTGCTGTTGTTGTTGTTGTTGTGGTGGTGGTGGTTTGTAGAGTTTTGTTTGGATGGCTCCCCCCTGGGATGGTTTGGGTTGAATGGGTGTCGGTGTGCGTTGGATGATAACGTTCTGCATGATCTGGCCTGGATTTTGCGTCTGAGGTGCCACTCCTGTACTTAGAGGGGCGCCTCCGAAGCCCACAAGTCCAGCAGGAGCCGTGACGGTACCACTGCTGCTGTTTGCGCTGCTGACACAAACAGCTGGTCCATTTAATGCCGGAGATGCTAAAGTTGCTTTGTTTCCTTGGATTAGAAGTCCACCACCCGAGGCTCCAAGTCCTGCCTGAGAACCAGCAGCTGATACTTCAGGTCCAGACTGGTGAAGTTGGTATCCACTCATGGCCTTAGCCAGGATTTGCTGCCCAGACTGGTTGATAGTCATGACTGTAGGCTGGCCCACAACCTGTATCTGTCCAATACCCAAAGGTCCTGACTGACTCCCATTAGAAAGAGCCTGGAGACTTGAAATGGGTTGAAGCGTCACATTTCCAAGACCCATGGACTGCATAAACGGCTGGACACTAATGGCCTTGTTCATGACCTGGGACTGGAGCTGAAGGCCCTGCTGAGCTAGTACTGACCCGAGCATGTCAGCCGTGGCATTGGAAGGGGTTGCTGTGGTGCCCGGGGCAGAGCCAGGGAAAATTGTTGGTGCTCCACCAACACCAATCCCTACGCCAACAGTAGCGCCTCCAGCTCCAGAGAGACCAGCGTCAGGCAGTGTCTGAACCACCTGCGCGAGGCCTGGAATTCCAAAAGTGTCCAGGTCCAGCTCGGCACCTGCCTCCTGCAAGCTCTGCTCTGTGATGTTGGCTTCAGCCAAACTCTGCTGCAGGATGTCACATGGCTCGTGGTTCGTCCCAATGCCATTGCTACCACCTTCTCCACCCGGGGATCCACCCAAGATGTCATCGTCCTCGAGAAAGTCCAGGTCCACGCTGACTCTCGGCAGGCCTGCCGGTTCACCGGCAGACAGCTGGGCTGCAGGCTGGACCTCCGGAACATGTCCCTTCGAGCACAGCAGAAGAAGAAAGAAGTGAAAGCAGGTATTAGTCATGTTGACGCCATGCAATGGCCAAGACTGTAACCGAACTACAACACCAAATACCAAATAGTTGGAACATTTTGTAAAATGTACATAAAAACAAAATGCAAAAACTGGTAAATCTCATTACGCACATTTTAATGAATGAAACATAGTAAACATATCAATCCTTGAAACTAAGAAATTGTACCGTTAATTGGGGGAAAAAATTTCAGATCACCAACTTCTATAACCGCAAAATTTTGTTGGGACAAGGACAGCAAAAGGCTGTGAAAGAGGTACAAATAAATATCCTGATGCATGCTCAATAATCCAGGTAGAAAAATCTAAAATCTACAATTAAACTACAGCTGGAGGATAACGTTGAAACAAAATAGGTTAATTGGCAGCAGGTCAATAAGAGGACCATGTACAAAAACAGCATTTTAGAGAGGCCGAATATTAAAAAACTAAACTAGTGGAAATATTTCAGAATAATGTTCCTCAATGAAAAAATTGGGAAGACTTTGAATACCCCATCATCTACAGTTCATAACATTATCAAAAGATTTCCAGGGTGTGCCCCGCCTCTTGCACAGTGATGGCTAACATGGGCACCAGTGACCACCGCGACCCAAATAGGAAGAAGCGTGTCAAGATAATGGATGGATGGATGTAGAAATCTCTGAGCTCAAAGAACAAGGCTGAAAGTCAATACTGGTCTGTGATCAGACGGATCCAGATTTAAAATAATTTTTGAAAACCCAGGACGCCACGTCCTTTACACTAAACAGAAGGGACCATCCAGCCTGTTATCTGTGCACAGTTCAACAACCTGCCTCTCTGGTGGTATGGGGATACATTAGTGCCTGTGTAATGGGCAGCTTAAACATCTGGAAATGCTTAATCAATACAGAAAAGAAGATGCAGGTTTAAAAACAACTTGTGTCTTTTTTTGCATATTTCATCAATGTTAAACTGCATACTGTGCCCATTAAAACAGCACGACTTCATAGTAGAAGAGTTGAACTGGTCTGCCTGCAGCCCAGACCTCTCACCAACTAAAAACACTGAATGCATCATGACATAAAAATAAACCCAGCAAAGAAGACGAGGACTGTAGAACACTAAAATCCTCAATTCTCTCAATGTTACTGCCACAAAATTCAAAATTACCTTTTTTTTGTGGTAAAATGTCTTTATTCTAACATTTTTTATGTTTACTATGTTCCATTGTGAGTGAAATATGAGTTTATGAGATTTGCAAATCAATGCATTCTATTTTTAATAACACTTTAGACAACGTCACAACTTTTTAGAAATTTGGATCGTGGTACAGAACATGAAAACACACAAAATAAAAGTCTGTAGTCAACATGTTAGTGGAGAGGGTGGGGATTTAAGGAGACATGCTACAAACATGGATAGGCCACAGCAGGAAGAAGAACGGGGGATTTTACTCACCCCAGTGGTGGAGAAGAACGAGCTGGAGGGGTCACTCGAACCATCCAAAAGGTCGTCAGTGTCCAACTACAGACACACCCACCAAGGGTAAGACAGACAGAAACCAAAGGCACCAAACCAGTGGGCAAGAGTCACCAGGACAGACAAACACAATCACAACAGAGAAGGGCAAGGAAAGGGCAGAAAACAGTTCAGAGAACCCAGAAAGTAAAGCATCAGTAAAAAGACAAGCGACAGAGGAACAAAACGATAGGATTCACTCAGAATTAGGAAGCGTTAGTGTAAGGATTTCTCATTTTTGTGAGCATTCAATATGAAACAACCCGAAAGCAAAAGCAAACACTAATAAAAGAAAGCTTGAAAAGGTTAATGAGGGCAGCGTGGGGGGGGGGGGGGGGGGGGGTGGGGGGGGGGGGGTTGCAGGTTTCAGGGTGCATCAGCCTTGAACTGGGCTGAATTTAGTAAAGATGCATAAGCACCAAATACAAAATACTAACAAGCTGCACGTCAGTTGCAAGCTTATATTCTGTAACTAAAAGATGCAAACCACTCTTATCTGTCCTCGTACTTACATGGGTCTCAGATCCATGAAGAAAATCATTGAGAGCTTCTGGGTCACTGCAGGAGAAAGCAACGCGATTTACAACACAATATTTCATATCCAGTCGGTTATTATTATATAAAATGAACAAACCTGACCCTTCATTTTGTCAGAACAGACTTACCAAATTACATCTAGAAGGCACCTGCCGTCTTCATCATCCATGACAACTGTGAAAGATGAAAAACCTTTTAAACTTCACGTAAGACTTGTTCCACAACCACAACTTTATGGTTATATTCCTACAATTTGGCAATTGACTTTTAGCTCTATATTTACACAGAGACTAATTTCTAGTTGATGTGAAAGGAATTTAGCATGATTTTTCCTAAAACCGACAATGCATTAACATTTTTTTGGACTATTTAAAAGCAAATATTTGCACAGTGTTGTTAGTATCAGTAAGGAGGGAGGGGGTGGAGAAGTCTCAGATGGTCATCACTGTATGTTCCCATACAATGGAGAAATTAGTTCACTGCATTTAACCCGTCGTCACACCTGAGATACACCCAGGTGGAGCAGTGGGCAGCTATGCAAGCGTCCGGGGAGCAGTCAGGGATTAGGTGTCTTGCTCAGAGACACCGCAGGAGTCGAACCGTGACTTTCTGGTCCCTCCCATCTCGGCCCTCTCAGCCCCCAGTACGCCAATAAATCAATGTCATATTTTATAAAAGCTGTCAAAAAAAAGCTAATACTTAAAAACATTATAAATAACACATGATTTCAAAGATGGTTCGTTTGGAACAAAGTCAATAAATATAATAGTTGGGCTACAGCGTGCGATATTGTTTAATATTGCGATGATGATACAAATGGTAATAAACCCACATTTTCCTCTTTCTCATCTGTCATCGCCATCATCTAAACCAGTGAGAATCTATTAAATTCACTAAATTTATAATAACCAGCAGAACATGAACGCACGGTGCTGAAAATACAACTTATGGTTTATTAGTCCTTAGGAGGTTGCAAACACAATAAAATTATGATAAATCATGCAGCCCTACGTAAATGTGTTGGGATCTTGTGAAAAGCGAGTGATAATATTGTACTTTTACTTTTTTTATAATAAGAAATCCATGAATAAGCATCAGCACAAAAAAGTTGATGTATTTTTTTTACTTGCTTATCACAAATGTAGAAACCAAATAATACCAAAATGACCACCTAATTTCTGTCAGACGTGTTTAAGTCTAAACAAAACTGTCTTTAAGCAGCATTTTTTTGAGTTACCAAAGACGAAGTGAACTATTTCCCGCTCACCGCAGCATCCAGTGATTTTCAACACGTCACTTCTTCACCTGGACGCGCAGTAATTAACCTCGATGCGGTGACAGGTGTCAAACGTGAGCTAAACGCCAGCAGATCCAGCACACAACAAACTGAAAACGCGCGGGTTTCGCACCGTCTCGGTACATTCTGAGCGCAGGCTGCCGCTGACTTTTAGCACAAGTAACACGGACGCTTCCATCGACACGAATACAACAAAACAACGCGACTTTTTCGCGGAAATATTCTGGACATTGTGACGGAAAGGCAGTTGCCGCTCCGAGCAGGTAGCGGGTAGCAGCCGTAAAACCAGTGCGCAGGATATGAATGGAGCCACTGCAAACGGAGAGCTACATGCTAACTGCTGTTTTTTAACAGCTTTGCATGCATACTTTACCGATTTCAGCCCGCATGTAGTATTTGACAGCACCACAGCTACCCTAAGACTCGCATGTTTAATTTTAAAACGCAATTTCACCCCTATTTTAGGTGATTTTGATACATCTGGGTTGACTTTTGTTAGCTTAGCAAGCTAACTTGCTATCAACAATATTCAGACGTACAGCTAGCTGGAGCCTTTGACATTCAAAACAAACCACAGAGTGACACAATTTCAACACCGACACCGCACGGCGGCACCCCTACTGAGCCGAAACCGAGCGGTTCGGCGAACTTGGGGGTGTAAAGGCAGCTACGCGGCGAGCTATCGCTAATTATTGCAAGCAGAGAATATGAGTTAATGTTGGAATACTCTTGGATGAGGGGGGTATGCTTGGGAATTCGTTGGAAAAAGGAGCCCGTATGCGGCAGCGTGGCGCTTCGGTTGCGGTACCGGTGCGGTTCGTACGCGCTGCGCAGTTAGCAGATATCGCAGCTTTGTAACGGTTATTGGGTTTAATGGAGAAATTGTTACATTGTAACAAACTCACCCGAGACGTTTGAGGTGCAGGCAGCGCGGGGTCTCCAGGACAGCCGAGCACGGGCTGCTCTACAGGACCCCGACAGAGACAGGAAGCGGCTGACTTCCGCTCTGCCTGAGTAAAATCTGTGTTGTTTACCTACCCAGAAAGAAACATTTCTAAACCTTTCGTGGTTTCAACAATTTCATTTAATAATAATTGAAAAATAAATTCGTATGTTCGTTAAATAGGTCTGGCTGCTTTGATTCAAACAGTAAAAATCAGAGATACAGCTTTTTAACTCGTGCGCAGAACGTTTATGAAATTAGTTAAGTTTTATAAATATGTAATAGGTGTTGATAATGTTATGAGTTGATTATTCGTCATATGCTGCAGAAAAACATGCATGAAACGTGTCAGTAGCATGAAAGTCACCTAATATGCTTTTTATTTTAATAAAAATATTGACAAAAAAAACAAAAAACTTGTGAATGCAGTTTATAATAATAAAATTCTTCCAAAAAATGTTGTTCCCTATTATTTTTCTTTGCAAAACAAATTAGTTTGATATGTTTTATGGTGAAAACAATACTCAAAGGCCCAACCACCACCCAATTTTGAAATAAATTTACAGTACATGTAAATTTTTATCACCTGATGCATGCTCATTATAATCCAGGACAGGTGATCTAACAAGGTTAAAGTCAGGTCCTCTGGACGGATTCTTCTTTGGTGAAACGTTTTGTCTTTTATCCAAAAGATGTCTTCAGTCTGAGGAGATGACTTCTCATAGTGAAACCTTCTCATAGTGGATTAACCAGTCAGCCAAAACTAATTGTTGACATGCAGAAGGGGGACCATCAGCCTACCGACCAATCGTTAGTGTTCTGATGGCCGCTTGCTATTCAGAGGGTTGAGTGATAATAGCAATAACAGCATTGTAAGGGGACAGTTGAACATAGAGGCATCCACCCCTGTTTAATGATGGACGGTTTCTCAACACCAAGATGGCTTCCTTCATCCTCTCTCAAATCATGGTTCCTCTCTATCAAGGATGTGAACATTTTCATCCCTGAAAGAGTGACCGCTGGCCTGGAGATGAGTGTAGACGGCAGAGTCCTGGCCTGATGATGTTGCTCTTCTGTGCTGGTCCATCGTTTTGATCAGTGGCTGTTTAGTTTCCCAGACTGATCACAGCCTGACACTGAACATAATACACAAACTCTGTTCCAACAATTTTTATCATACATTTGTTGTAAATGTTTGTACTTGGAAATTGAAAATACCGGTAATTTTTTTAAATCAGATGAAGTGCTCTTGTTTGATTGGTTGGAGAATATTGGTATTACAATTTATTAAGTAATACAGTAATAAAATTTGTGCAGAAGATTGGTGTTATTTCAGTGACATCATTCACAAAAGATGCTAAACAGCTACAGAAAGAATAGAAAAAGTGAAACATTTTTAAAGTCTTTGCTGATGTAAAAAAGGCACAGAAATCTGTAAAAAAAAATAATAAATGACTGTCAGATAATCGACAATGCGCCTAAAATCACCAAAAAACCTCCAAGTGTAATTTACAGCAAATGTTGCTTCCTCTGATAAAAAAAAAATGTAACATCCACATCTATCCATCAGAAATGAGTGTTTAATTATATATTTGACCAAATCAGCCAAGTATCCAGTTTTTATTCATAATGGATGCCAATGTGTGATTAAATAATAAGATTATGTTGAAAGGCTTAATGAGTTAATGTAGTAGGATTTGGAAATATTGCTGTCATTTACAAAGAGTGCACAAAGAAAACTTTTTTTTTTTTTGGTAAATCAGTGACGTTTAGTAGAGCTCAGCTGATCAATGGTCTTCAAAAACAAAGTGTCAGAGAAAGTTTATTAAATAAATACTGGGGGATAAAAGACTGTACTGCAGAGGAAATGTTGGTGAACATAACTAAACTTTGTCTCCTTCAACTCCAGCCAAATTCAAGTGAAAATATTTAAAATGAGCATAAAACAACCTGTTAAAAGTTCAACAAGTCAGAGCTTTTAATAAAAAAATTCAATAGATTTTTTTCTTACTGCGTAATGTAAACCCAGTTTTAAATGGTGACTTCTTCTTCCAGCTGCAAAGAAGATTTTTTGTTTTCTTTGTTTCAGTACATCAGAATCAACAAGACACATAAATGGTGGTATCATGTTTATTAATATTATTATTTCTCCAGAAACTGAGGAAAAGTTCTTGTAGATCGTTCACATGCAGTATTTGTCCATTAAAAAAATCTGTTCACTACAGTTCTTTCTGTTTATTACAAAGAATACGCCATATAATGATTAGTGTTATGAATATTTTTATGTAATTTCTGATACTTTTTCTGCTGATCTGTTTCATGTTGATGTGTTCATGCGTGCTCATCTGTTCACACAGACTCACATTCGTGCTGCTGTTCAACATAATGTTTTTATGCTATTAGTGCTTTGTGTATTATTGAGTTTATGTTTTTCTCCGTTCATATCTTAGCTCTTATTACTGTTTTTCTTTTACATTTTATTGTTGGGACCAAATAAATGCGAATGACAAATAAATCTCTCTGTCTCTGAAGAGAATTTGCCTAGAGTTGTTATTATTAATAACTAGATTTGTCATTTGCAGCAGCAACCTGTGCAATAGCCGCCAAAAACACAATAATGATTATGTCCCGTTTTGACAATTGACATCTTGGAGAGAAAACATTATGACCACAACAAATCTGATCAAAGCAACAAGAAAAAAGGTACACATTTTACTTAAATCAAGTTTTACAACACAAATTAATCAATCCAAGATGTCTCTAATTGAAAAAAAATCAACTTGTCCAAAATATAGAACTGAGATTGACTCATTTTCTACATGTTGATTTTATCAAAGACCTAGAAGCAACATTGCTTTGATGTCCTTTTTATACAAAGTTTTAACACATTTACACGTTGGTTCTGAGCGGCACCGCAGGTTTGCATGCACAAAAATGAACGACTGTGGTCAAACCTGCTGTACGTATATCTTTATGATACACTATTGATTCATATATCGATGTTCTAGAATTGCACCTCTCAAGGTGGCTGCATGTTGGAGCAGCTCTGTTACATTCATTCTGGGATATGGCTTTTGAAAACTTTATTTCCTCTTTTTTCTGGATATAAATGGCTTTTTTTAATGATTACTTCCTCTGGTATCGGATGCTGTGCAGCTGGAAGTATTTTTACTAAAAAAAACTTTTACTTTTGGACATTATGACATGTAACCATAACAACAAGGTGGTTTTTACATCCGGGAGCAGCTGATTAACATCTCAAAGCTTAAATATTACCTCAACTACAGCCCCAAATCCCAAATGAGTTGTAAAGGAGGCACCGTGGAGGCATCTTCGTCTGCCTGGCGGAGGTGCTCGAGTGACTGACTGTTGTGATCCTGGAGCTGGCAGGAAACGTGGCTCATGACAAGAAAACCTGGATCATCCCCTGACACCTGCAGCTGGCTGTCTGCAATGATGAGGAGCTCAACAAGCTGCTGAGTGGAGTGGCCATCGCTCAGGGAGGAGTTCTGCCCAACATTCAGGTGGTTCTGCTGCCCAGGAGGACAGAGAGGCCCGTCCCACTGGGTCCGGGTGGACATATCGGCATCTGCAGCCAGATTCTTCAGATTCGCTGCGAGACAGACTGCTGCGGGAGATCCTTCCTGCCCACAGCCATCAGCATATATAACAACTCTTAATGAAACCAGGATGATGAGCTACAACAATATTTCATTTCCCTATGGGATTAATAAAGTATTTTGAATTAAATTGAATTGAATACGAGTCAATAATACTCTAAGCCACTTGTAATGTCCCATTGTTTAGGACAGGACCTCCATAACTATTTGACTCTGACTCAGAGTTTATTTTGAAAGCCTCCAACATCTATCCATCCATCCATTATCATTACCTGCTTATTCCATTTTGGGTCACGGGGGTCACTGGTGCCCATGTCCAGCAATCACTGTGCGAGGGGCGGGGTACACCCTGGACTGGTCGCGAGTCCATCACAGGGCCACATAGAGACAAACAACCATTCACTCTCTCACTCACACCTAGGGACAAATTAGAGTTGCCAATCAGCCTAACATGCATGTTTTTGGTCTGTGGGAGGAAACCGGAGTACCCGGAGAAAACCCACGCATGCACGGAGAGAACATGCAAACTCCACCCAGAAAGGCCCCTGGACCAGGGTTTGAACCAAGGACCTGCTTGCTGAGAGGTAGCGGCTCTACGGGTTGCGCCACCATGCTGCCCCAGCATCCAACATTGCATTCTCAATATTATTACTCTGATATTTCAACAGTATTTAGACTTTAATTAAGAAAGAAAGAAAGAAAGAAAGAAAGAAAGAAAGAAAGAAAGAAAG